TATATACATACACAAACATGCAAAAAGGCTGGAATATCATATGCTCTGTTCATAGAAACATCTAAAGGATTAAGATGGCAAAGAGTACAACTTTATTTTCTACTTCATGTTGTTTTGTGTCAATTTTATCTTTAAAGATATTTCCCAAAGAAAATATAAGGTGTATAGCATGACCAGGGCTCCATTTCCCAGGGACTCTCTGGGCTCTGCCGTCTGTCATCGTCTGGCTCCCATGACGGCTGCAGGAGCTCCGAATACCACATTCAGACATGAAAACGGAATAGTGAAACTCCATTTGAGCACAACGTACTCCATTGGGAACCGGTTTGTCGGTGCTTCCTCATGGTTAGATTCGGGATATTCATTCCCCGCTGGAGTACTCTTAAGTGACTTGCCTTGCTCGGGTCGTTACGTATGGAGGACACGATTTCCATCTGCCTCTCATTGACGGTGTTAATTTTGATCATCTCGTCAAGGTTTTGAAGTTTCTAGGTAGTTACTGTGCTTTCTCTTGCAACTAATCGGTTTTCCATGGATAGACACTTTAAGACTATACGAATATTCTAACCCTTACTAAATTACCCCCTATATTGAGCATCCACTGGTGATTCTTACCTGGACCGATCTTTACTATAACGGTTGCAAAATGATTTTCCAACGCCAGCATTCCTAGTACGTTTATCAGTTAGCACTTGGCGTTCTGCTAGCATCGATTTACTTTCGATGAACTGTTTGGCTAGAAGTGTAATTCTAGGTTGAAAACAATTTTCTTCAGAATTTCGAAGGCATTGCTTCACTATTAGGGAGCATCCCATGTTGCTAGTGAGAAGTCTGATGTCATACATCTACTTCCTTAATGTATGTATGACCTATTCCCCATCCCCACCCCAGAAGCTCTTAGAATCTTTCTGTTAATCGGTGGTGTTCTGACATTGTATAATGATGTGCCTGGAATGACAACATTTTTTGTTCTTTTTTTTTTCTGGAGGCCTAACTCCCCCAGTTTTCCAACTGGAACCGGCTGTTGCCCAGGACAGGTATATAAGTGTCTTCTCAACCCTTCACTATTCTGAGAATATTGGATCCTCCATTTCCTAAATCTTTCTCCTTTTTGGTTTACACCCTCATTTTGCTGAACCACATACCCTTTAGCAATCTCTCTCAAGCATAATGTTAAGAGAAGAGAGGCAAGTTGCTGAATAATGAGTAACTGACAGCTCAGAGACTGAGAATCACTGGACATGGCTACGCATAGCATAACAGTCTCCAGTTATTTATGGATCAACTCTAGAGAAATAATGAGAGAAATAAGGAAGAACAAGTGACCCCTACTTTATCAGAAATATTCCATTTGTTTTATTTTTAAAATAACTGTATACTTAAACAAAGAAATTATAATTTTTGATTATGCACTAGATTTTCATCAAAGTATTTAAGAGATTCAAAATGGAAATATCCTAAATGTTCAATAAGAGACTGGTTATGGAAAAAATGCAAATCCATGCGATGTAATATTATGCAGCTATTAAAAATATTACACATTCCTTGTCAACTAAGACATGCACATGATAATCTGCTAGCTGAAAAAGGGGTCTGTGACAGAATATGCATAGTATGTGCATGCGTGCATGTGAGTGTGTGTAATTGTGTGTGTTTGTGTACACCAAAGTATTAAAAGTAGTGGAATTCAGGCCAACGTACTGATCTAGGTCAAATTTTGCTCTAAGCACATATTTTTTTTATATAGCTAGAAAAGTCCTTTTTAAGTTTAATTTAATTTCAAAGCCACTATGGCCAAGAAGTTAAAAGCAGACAATCTGTTCACGTGATGTAGATACCTCAACTGTATAGAAAACAATTAGGCATTTTGTTTATCAAAAACGAGACAGCTGAGAAGTACAAGAACATTGCCCTGTTCCCAGCAGACAGTGGCTATGAAGAGAACCTCTTGTCTCAGGAACAAGCACGATTTGGCTTCAGATTCCT